GCGAGCCGCAGTTTGCCGACCACGGGGCTAGGTGAATAGTAGGGAGAGGTGGGGACTGTGACAAACTACAGAGGCATGTCCTCCCTAAAGGGGAGAGTAGTGACTCAGCTCCAATGGTGTGGCCATGTAAAAATGCAGCTCTAGGGTTGCCTGATTTTCTGAGATTTTAAGAAATGCAAGAAACCTAGACTTGTTTTTAATGTACAATGTCCCACTTTACAAAACATTTGGGCCAAAGAGATACATCCATGAGCTACATTTGGCCTGTGGCTGTCACTCTGTAACCTCTGCCCCGAAGCCAGATTTGCAGAACTGAGATGGATGGGCTTCAGCACCATCAAACTGATATTGCAAGGTTCAATCTGCTAAACCAAAGGATGACCATTCACCTCCATGAAACCTGGATCAGTCTGCATTTCAAGTTTGAAAGATCATTTCTTTCTTCTCTAGCCTGCTCTTAGCTGCTTCTCCCAGTAGAGAAAGTAGTTTTCTACCCTAACCCAAAAATAAAGCCAATACTTAGTGTATGGTGATGGTACAGGGGATCCTACAGTCCAGCTAGTCATCCTTTGTACAGTCTGCTCAGGTAGGGGGATCCAGGCCCGGGATACCCTGGGTGGCTGCAGAGGAGACAGGCTGTGAGGAATTGTATTGGCAGCATCTGTCAGGAGGGTCAGATCCTCCCAGGCGTGTGGGCACCTTGCAGACAGCTAAGTGGAAACATTGCCAAAACCACTGGTCACTTGATTTGATTCTGTCCAACTGATTATTGTAATTGGATGACAGATTGATATTTCCCTCTCTTTTTCAACTGGTGTTGAAGGGTGAGCGGATCTGGCTCATGACTCACTCTTCTGGGTAGTTACCTAATGGGGCAGATTATCTCCTTTCACAGGCAGAACTGTGGCTGCCTTTTGGCTGCCTGAAGAGTAAGCTAGGTCCAACTGTAGTCAAATGCCAGGAAATTTCAGAACTTCCTTGCATTTCATATTGCATTGTCTACAAAGGTCTTTGAAATGTTCCTTGCTCTAATACTCAGAGGGGATACATAGTTGAAGAATAAAATAAAACAGAAGCAACTATAATAGGGAAAAAAGGAAGGAAACAAAACAAGGAAAGATACTCAGTGCAAAATGACAGGACTTCTCATTGTAGCAAATAATTGGGAATAGGAAACTAGTTTGGTTTTAATGGAGCTGCTATACTGAAGTTCTTTAAAATATGAGCTGTAGATTCAGAATTTTGTAATGCTGTGGATGGAGCCCTCTTCTGGAGAAATTTTTCAACAGATATTAAAACAAGATAAAAACACGAAGAGATAGACACACACACATAGTCACATACAGAGAGAAAGATAATTAGGACATATTATTGGCTATTTAGATGATATGTCATTCATATATGAATTGAATCCATAGTGGTTTTTTCTCTCCTTTTCCTTACTTCCCACTAAATAGAAATTAGCTCTACTCCTCAAAGAACTATTTTTTTGCTTTGTTTTGTTGTTTTGTTTTTGTTTTTTTTTTTTGAAAGGAGGGAAAGAAAGAGGGATATCCTCAAGAGTCTAGCTGAACTTTTACCTAAACAGTGAACTTCAGACTGAGACTCCATGTACACATCTAAATGCTGGTACTTACAGATAATGCAGTTATTGGGTACATTGGTTTGTTGGGCAGTTTTAACACATACAGAATACTTCTAGAAATAGATTTTGTTTAATGAAAAACCCAAGGGCTAAAAATTAAAAAAAGGGGAGAAGGGGGGAGACAGAGTAGGAGAGATTAGCTAAAATGACTATTGAGGCTTTTAATACAGACTATGGCATTACATAAATTCCAGATCACATATTCAGCCTTGCAGTTTATTAAATGTCTTTGGGGACTTGCTAAAAAATTTGTTCAGACACATTAACTCTACCACTTTAATTCCTTTCACCACGTATATCTCTGTTTCCCCAGGGCTATTAAAGTCTCATAGGCTGCTACATGCTGAACCCTTCTCAGGGCAGGAGTACTCTCTGCAACCCTCAATCTTTTATCCTCATCAAAATGGTTCTGCAAAAAAACACTGCCCTTAGAATATAATATAGGAAGTTGAAGGAGCACTAGAAGACACTGATTCTCAAAATCCTGAAAGCCAAGATTCTGATTCCAAGAAAGGACTTCCCATTTTAAAATCAGCACCTCAGAATTCTGTGGAACATTTGTAGTCACTCCTAAGTGACTGCTCTCCAACCTGAACCACTCCCTAAAATCCTAATTCTTGGAGGATTACTCATTTATTGTTAGAACTTTTGGCTAGTTGTGATACCCAAATATGGGAGGGGGAATCATATTTACAGTGGAATTTCTAGCTCATGCTGCTCTTTTTTTAAATTATTTATTATAGCCAAATTCCAGAGGCCACTTCTGGGACAATCTTTCTCAAAACACCCAGGGGAAAAGAGAGCTGATTGTCCTTAACTTTGCCAGTTCCCAGCCATTGTTGGTTAGAATTCCTCTCCCTGCCCCTCCCGCCCCCCCAAATGCCTAAAAGAGCAACCTAGCCAATAAACTTACAGAGACTGATATCTTCCAAAGCTGGACCCAGCACCTTACCACTGAGGTGGAAAAACACACACATGCTTGCCTGAACACCATGAGGGCTGAGTGACTAATTTGCTTTATTACATTGTTTTTCCCTTTCTTCTGTTTTCTCTCTGCCTCAGGAAAGTTTTGTTTTTTTTCTTGTTGACTCAAAGGCCCCAAGACTTTCCCCACTTTCCCCACCATGGCCCTCAAGAGCTCTGCATTAAGCCTCTTGCTGGGTAACTGGATTGCGCCAGCATGATTTCTCTGCAAGGTGCTACTGCTACCAGGATATCAATTACTGACCTAATGTGGACATTTGCTCTGGTTATGCATAATAATCTAAAAGAGAAATATGCTTCTCAGGGTAGGCAATTTAATTCATTTTAAAGGAACGGAGTGAGCTGTGAGTCTTCAGAACGCACCTGTGCTAGCTGGGCCTTCGCTGAGGAGACACACCAGTTGCTTTGCAAAAGGCATCATATGAGAAGCCCCCAGTGCATAAGGATTGCTGGGTGCTGTGGTCTGTCTTGTTCAAAAGGAGGCATAACTTTGGACAAGCCCTGGAATCCAAACTGAGGGCAAAGCATGCCCACAGAGACTGTGAAGTCCTAGGTAAGGTAGTGGTAAGTGCTCCCAGACACCGACAGCTCCCTGTGAGCCAGGCCTCATGGTAATTGCGTTACCTGGGACATCCTTTTCAATGCAATACAATCTGCCTAGCAAGCCTATGAAGGTGATAAGATTATTTTACAGTGGAGAATCTGGAAGCTCAGAGAGATTAAGCAACTTGCCCAGAGTGGTACCACTAGCATATGGCAGAGCAGATCTGTCTGAATCAGAAGCATTCTCTGCACTACCCTGCTGAATTGGGATTGCATATCCCTACATACAGCCTCGGGAATAATTAGTCCAGAAAGGCTGGAAAACTGGCTCATAGACAGGCATAGGATTTGTGGCAGGACTTAAGGCTACAGAAACCCTAAGAGAATCAACCAGCAAACCTTGGTAGAAGAGGAGTACAACTGAGTAAGGGAGTACGAGTGGGGGGAGGGGGCTCCAAGTACTATCACACACTGCCACCCCCACTCTGAGCGCTCTCCATGGGACATGGGTCAAATTCCAAAGTCAACACTAGCTTGGACCCAGCAGTGGTCTCCCCTTAGAAGGCTGTACTGCATCTTCTCATCCTAACCTGCCCCTGCCTGGGACCCTAGCTGCTCACTCTCCCTCTCACCTATATACTCATACATGTGCCTCTTCCCCTGGCACCCAGGAATCCTGACCAGAAACTCAACATCCATTTCTAGCACCCCAAGGCACTCCTTGTCTCCTTCCCTCCTCTTCTAGGCTGCCAGGGAGACCTAGAGGACTGGGTCCCTGAGCAGTGCTGGGCGTGCCCCTTAGCCTCCAGCACCTCCACATACTGCTTTCCTACACACAAACTTCCAGAGATCTCTCAGATACATAGGTGGTTGCTGGAGGACCTTGTCTCCATCGTCCCCTTTTAGGAATCTCAGGGCGCTTCCCTCACAGCGCAGAGCTCCCCTCCTTCCCTCTGAGGGTTAACAGGCAGCTGCGGCCCGGTGGGCAAGGCTTGAACTTTTCTCTGTGTTCCGCGCCCGCCTGCCTGCCCGCCCAAGAAAGCAGCAGAGGCGGCAACCAAGGCTCAGGGCTGAAGCTTCAGTTAGCTGGACAAATGGGGTGTAGCGTAGGGGGTTGGGGCCTGTGCCCTGACAGGGGACGCACTCCGGTCTTTCCCGTCTTTCCCCGCCTGAGGTTGGGGAAGGAAAGGACCCCCAAGCAGGAGCAACTGCCACAGGCGCCTTTGAGCGACAGCAGCAGCCGCTGCTGCGCAAGGCTAGCCTGAGGCACCTTCCAGAGCGCACCGCCGGGCTGGGTGAAGGGGCCCCGGTGCCCCAGGAAGTCAGCAATGCCAGGCCATCCTCTCCAGCCGCAGAGCAGCCCACAATCCCGACACAAGCGGCGCTTCCCTGATCCGCGCTGAGCTTGGTAAAATAACGACTCCTTGGAGTCGTTTCCAACTGAGTCTTTCTCCAATACACGAGCCTCCGGGAGAAGGCGAATCAAAGTTACGCCACTTGATGTAGGCGAGAATGTCGCCCAGGCTGGCAAAATAAAGGACTCAGGACTCCGGAGCTCTCTCCTTCTCCCCTTCACGCGAGCGAGCGCGCACACGTACACACCACACACACACACACACACACACACACACACGGCGGAGTGGGTAACCGGGACGCCCTAGGATCTCTGGGGCTGGGAAGAATGACCTCCCTTCCAAGCCCAGGGCTCTCTTTGCCAGGGCTCCAGGAGTCCCCTAGCGCCCCGAAAGCCCCCTCACTCTGCCGGCATCAAGCAATAGGAATGCAGATCCAGGGCGCAGGGCGCGCCCCCGCAGCCCCTCTTCCCTACCTGGGACAGGAGAATACACAAGGCAAGCGGAGTTCTCGGCTGCATTTTGCCCGACTAGAAGAGCCCGGCGGCGTTTTCATTCATGCACGAGGCTGCACTGAGCATATTTTCCGTGGGAGCCAGGCTTTGAGGAGAGGCTCTGCCTCGCCAGCCAGCCAACTTCCCAAATAGATCAGCGGCAGCATCACGAAAGCATTGGGTAGAGGCTGATGACCAGGACCAATGGCTTTACAAGACGGATTCCTTCATAAAGCTCCCTCGTTTTGCATGGCAGATACGGGGCGAGCACCTCGCGCAAAGCGAGACCCTCAAAGGAGGCAGCCCATTTGCTTTTTTGGACTGTTGGGGCCCAGCCTCACAAATCACGCTGGGCATCGCCAGCAGATTCCACTTATGAAGAGAATGGAATTGCACCCGGGACTGGCGGCCACTTACAGCTCAGTGCAAAAAGATTCTCTTTATTAAAATGTTAATAAGATCCACTTTATTTCCAATAAATCAAATAAAATTACCCCAACAGTTCCAGCCCTTTCTACGCCTGGAAAGACCTGGCAATGGATTTTCTTTTTTCTTTTTCTTTCTTTTTTTCCCATGTGGTCCAAGTCATGATGGTGTTTGGTGTTTCCCTGCCATCACACAAATCACAAAGAGGACAGATCAATTCTAGCTTGCAGAAAAAAATCCATCAAGGGGCAATAGACTTTATTAACTGCTCAAATGAGAATCTGACTGGCCACCTACTCCACAAACATTCATCTGGCTCCCAAGTTGGGACCATGATGTGAGGAAACTTTTTTATTTTCTATATGGATATAATCTTTTGGAAGCTCCTAGCTATTCCCCCCAAACTCAGAACAGTAGTACCCATGTCTCAGGGGATTTTATAAATGGAGTCCTATTGAAATGAGGGTAAGAGGGATATCCAGGTTTGTCTTTCCCAGTAGGAATCTAAGAATATGCAATAAAGACCTTACATTGTCATTTCCATGCAGCCTCCTAAAAAGGATTTGAGGTGTTCTATAATACAGGATATTTGTGCAATAGAATTTATGCAACCAATATAAAAAATCTGGGCCAGAAGGAAAGAAACCAGAAAACTGAAATGCTAAACCCAAACTCTAATAAATTTGCTCTGATTTAGATCTGAGCTTCCTGGCGGCTAAAGCAATAAGAGAAATATATAAGTTACATTGTTCTTATTATACAAATATATTCTGACATAATTTCCCTTGATGCCAAATAATGGAATAAGTGTATTATGTGTTATCTAATCTAGCAGGATACTACCTGGTGATCCAGGGGATGGGGCTGTATTCCTAGCATCTGGCACAGGGCCTGGAACATGGAGACCGTTAGTTTGTGTGAAAGAGATGTCTAAACTTAATCAAGAAGTAGTGAGTGTGGGGTGGAACAAAGATTTTTAGAGCCACATTGCCTAAGCTTAACCTGTAGTTATACCACTGACTAATAAGTTACTCATACTGTCTCTGCGTCTGTCCAATGGTTAAATAAACATATACATTATACTGAACTCTTAAGGATGTGATGAGGATTAAATAACAAAATAACCACTCAACAGATGTAAACTGAATCACCTTAAAAAAATATTTCATTGTCAGCTGTTCTATCACAAGGTCATCTCATGTGGCCCAAGGTCATTAATGAAGATGCAATGCCATCTGACCACCTAGCTGCTTTAGCCAATGCCAGCCCAACAGATGGCAATGTTGGCCAAACAGCTCCCAGAAGAGCCCAGGAAAGGTGAATACTTCTGCTTCTTCCAGCTTTCCACTGTCCTCTTTTCAAGGTAGCATTGCTCCTGAGCCTCTAAGAAGTGCAGTCACAGTGTTTGATAGATGCTGCACTTGTCTCAGATTGGAACCCATGTGTGTGGAGACCCATTCCCACATTGCTCACCAGTAAGAATAAAACAAGGTTCTTTGGAGTCAGACCTGCTTCAAATCAAGGCATCATGAAATATCCTGATTTTTCTCCATTCCAGGGCAGAATCAGGGGCCAGCTGAGCCAAGCCCATAGGTTCAGCAGGCACAAAGATAGAGAGAGAGAGCAGAGGACAGCTTGGCAGATGATAAACCATGATAAGGGGTAATGGTGGCAGTAAGATGATGTTCCATGATGTGGATGATGTTACATTTCCACAAGCAGACACTCAGTCAGGAAGCACTACTAAGAGTAGGGTGTTTCCAAGGATGCACGTGTACAAAGTACAAAGCAGTATTATTGATTTTATAGTTTTTCTGGACCTTTCTATGGTCTCCTTATTTCATCATTTTTACTGCTGCTCACCAAGTAGGTCCAGTTTTTCCCCCTTCCTGGCACAGGGAAGGGTTGCACTTGCCGCCCCCTTGTGGTTAGCGTGGGGAAGTGTGACCAGTTCTATCTAGCCAATAAGCTGTGAGCAAAAGCGACAGGTGTCACTTCAAGGCTGAAGTATTTAATCACCAGTGTGAGACAGGCTAGTTTCCCTGGAATAGGTGCTGAGATGGAGCTTACTGGGGAGTGTTCTCAGGAGCAACAGCTGCAAGAGGTGGGAAAACAAATTGGCAGAGGTAGAAGGTGAACACAGCTATCCTTGCAGTAGAGGACTCGGCCAATCCCAGGGGAGCTCTGGGGCTAGAGTGGTCCTTCAGAGATGACCCTAATAGAGTCATCTCTGAAGAACCTTTGTGTTCCCAGGCGCCGACTGCTCCCTAAAGGAGGATAATAATCTTGGGTGAGGTTGTTTCAGCTTCATCAATGTACTGAATTAAGGTGCTGACCCACAACAGGTAACTGCAGGCTGTGATTCCTAGGCTGCAGATGAACTTGTGCATCTGAGGGCACCAGTGAAGATAGCTACAGATTTGCCTGGCCAAAATTCTGCTGAGTCTGTCTCCAGCCAGGAGCTTGCAGGCATTCCCCAAGGTCCTGGGCTTTTGTCCTGAGCTATTCTACTGGCAGGCAGAGTGGCTCCAGCCAACCTCAACTGATTCTAGGTGGATGTGCCCAAAAGGCCAGTCTCCATCCCTTCCTACTTCAGTAGGGGAGGTGTTGGGAGTTGCAATAAGTTACAAATGTAACTTTCAGAGTCTTCTTAGGCCTTGAGGCTCATTTCTAGAAACCATAGAGGCTAGGAAGTTGGAAAGAAATTTGTCCAAAAAATGACACCTGAATTGGGATCTCTGGACTTCACTTATATTGGGCAAGTAGCTTTTACTCCCCAACCTCAGTTTCTTCATCCATACAATAGAAATAACAACATAGCAACATTCCAATGATTATTGTAAAAAAATGATGTTACTTTTCCCCTCTACCTCTTACTCCACTCTACTCTCACAGAATGTACATTTTACCAAAAATATCATGTTTTGTTTAACAAAAATAGGAGAAAAGTCATTTTATTCCAGTGATAACAGGTTTCTGAAGAAGAAATCCATTTGTTTGTTTTGCCGTGTTCTCCCTTCAGCTTCCTAATGAGGGGTTTTTGGCTGATTGATTGATGGTGGCAACTAAATACTGAAGCTAAAATCCACCTCCCGACTACCCCTGCTCTACCTCCCCCACTACAGCCCTCCAAGAGCCCCAGCAGCTTTTGCAGCTGTGGGTTCCCCAGAAGCCATGTCTGTGTTCAGACACATTCCAGGTCCACATTCCTTTTCAAAGCTCATCAGCCTGGCTGTGGAGCTGGTGGAACCATCACCCAACAGTCTGCAGCTGTTTCCTGAGGTTCCAGGGATTGAGACTTTCCTCTCATTGACTGATGTGGATGAAGACATGATTTCTGAGTGTGTGGAGGTGGCTGTGTGGGTGTGTGCAGTGCTTGTGTGTCATCTATACAGGCACATGAATGTGTGTGTGTGGAAAGGAGCAACTGGGATATCATCCCACAGAGATAATTTAGTCAAATCGTGGTACCCTTTAAATTTGCTGCTGTGATCAGGCATTTGAATAGAATAGTGATAAACTGGACAGATGTCCTTATGAGACTCAATAGTTATCAGGTGTGCAGGGGCACTTGATACTTGGAGAGCAGGGAGGGAAGTCCATCCCATACAGCATTATAACATAACATAATGCTGAAGCTACACACCCTCAATGTCTATAGCCTGCTAAAAACACCCAAGGTTATGACAATACACCATCCCATAATACCTGGCTACCAAAAGTTGCATCCTTGATCTGCTTGAGCCATGAACCTGCTTCATTGCCCTTTCTGTTATTTGGCCTTATACCATAAGTGGTTACTTGCATTATGGTCTCAATTCTTTACTCCAACCTGCATCTACACCTTTTACCCCTTGACTTTGGGTTTGGCCATATGAACTTCGTGTGGCCAATGGAATGAGGCAAAAGTGATAGGGTGCCAGTTAAAAGCCAAGGCTCCAAGGGGTCCTGTGCATTTCAGCTTCCTCTCACTAGGTTCTCTATCAATGCCTCAAAGGAACATTCATGGACTAGCTCACTGGTCGTAGGAGGACAGACGAGCACCTCCATGGACCCAGAGAAACTTGAGCAAAGCCAACAGAGCTTTGATACATAACAAACCATCCAGATCAGCTGACTCACAGGTATGTGAGCTAAAAATAAATGATTGCTCTAAATTTGGGAGGTGGTTTGTTATGTATCAATAGCTAACCCACGGGTGGGCAAACTTTTTGACTCGAGGGCCACAATGGGTTCTTAAACTGGACTGGAGGGCCGGAAAATAAGCATGGATGGAGTGTTTGTGTGAACTAATATAAATTCAAAGTAAACATCATTACATAAAAGGGTATGGTCTTTTTTTTTTTTTTTTTTTTTTTTTTAGTTTTATTCATTTCAAACGGGCCGGAGTTTGCCCACGGCTGAGCTAACCAATAATTACACTTTTGGTTTGTTGTCTATCTCTTCTACATCTGTCTTTTTGCTGCTGTGTGCTTAGCTTCTAGAACAGTGTCTGGCATACAGGAGGTGCTCAAAGGATTTTTGTTGTAAAGATAAATGGCTTCTGTATTGAACAATGCATGATGCTGATATGAACCCCCCTACATGTACAGCCCTATCAGAATATATCCTGATGGTGACAGTTCAGTCCTCCCACCTGGAAAGCATTCTGTAACCTTGACACTCTGCACTCACATGTAGCCATCTAGGTCAGCCTATGACAAGGCAAGGCCTTCTTACAATAGTCTCAACCAGGTTAGACATAGTAAGGAACATTCCACAGAGGCTAGTGTGAGCATGTAGGTGCTTGGAGATCTTCATTGAAGGACTCTTGGGATGTGACATCTTTCTGAATTTCCTTAATTTATAAAAAGTCCAGACATATAAGACTAAGACAGAAAGTGCTCCTTTGACTT